CATTTGGTGAGTTTTATTTTGTTTGTGTCCAGTTTGAATGAAGTTCGTTTTATGAAGATTTGCAGTGTCAAATTATTGTTTTTGTTCAGTGGAGTCTGGAGGCTAAGGAGAGTGATGTAAAAATGATCTTTAAAAAAAAGGTCTATATCTGTAGGGATTCTTCCCACAATGTTGTCAGACACTTAGAATAACAGTCTGAGACCATCAGTGGCAAAAACAAGCACTTAGTTTGTTTTGCCACTGATACATTTTCGTCCATCACAGTGCTTTCTCTTTTTTGTGTAGTGTTCTCGTGTTTTTTTTTCTAATGCTTAATATTTTATTGTGTTTGTGCCTATAGGCTGTTAAATACCTGTAGTATTTGTGTTTATTAGTAAAACCAGGAATACCTGGAAATCCTCAATGCTGATTTATTGTTAGAAAAAAGTCCTACACAGGCTGCTACATTAACACTTTCATGCTTATATGAATGTTTTATTGGTGGTGCTCCCAGTGCGATTGAAACTGTGACCCTGCATCACAACCTTGTTCAGTTTTTTATGACACGTTTTGAGATGTTTGTTTTTTAGGAAGTGTGTTTCTTAAAGTTTCTGCCCTCTGCTGTGAGGTAATAAAGTTTGTTTGAATTATAGTCACATGTGAAACACTGTTTCATTTCAAAGCAAAGACTAAATTTAAAGCATTAGTAAAAGCCATTACCACCTAAACATGTAACTGAATAATCAACTAGTTAGGAATGTTTTAATGTAACATTGAAAATACTTTGAGGAGATTGAAGCAGTATGTCGCAAAAAGTATTATTAAAAAAAGTCACATCTGTGAAATAAATTTACAGTAACATTTCCCATAATTTATTAACTCACTCAGTTATCATATAAGTTAAACAATTCAAATGCTGATTATAGATTCAGTGGTTTATCAACATTTATAGCACCACAGATATTTTTTTATTCTTTGGCAGTGTACATCAAGTACATATAAAGTAGAAATTGTACACTATTGTCATTGACTCTGACTGATATTCTCCTTTTTGATCCTGAAAAATGTTTTGATACTTCTTGAAATGATCTAAGACTTTGATATAAAATAAATAAAGTAGTTTATGTTTAATCTCAATACAGTTTTTTAGCGAAAGTCTTCTTAAAATCTGAAATCTGAAAATATATAGTGTCGTTAAAGGTACCCTGTGGAGTTTTTTGAGCACCAGTATGTTTTGTAAAAGTTGCCCCCCCCCCTTCTGCAACTCCCTTCTGCTACATAGCAGACAATATACATTAATAAAGAATCAATTATGACATAAACAGAAATAAAACTATCATTCAACTATGAAGAGACTGGTCAGAATAAAGCATGTGCTGGAGCTGATCGACCACATCCATCAATCTATGGATGCTTATTTTTATTTTCCCATCATCTCCGGGCAGTACTGTACACGGTTCATTCCAAGGTAATAAAAACGGTTCATTATGTAAGGCCTTTATACACCGCTGAAAACATAGTAATGGATATTATATTGCATTTCTGTCAATAGATCCTCCAGATCTCCAGATGAATATTACACACTCAACCGTTAAATCTTTAGTTTTCTCTAAAGCCAGTTTAGTGTTAAATTTAGAGAAACTGATGCTTTGATGTGGGATTTGCAAAATGAGACTTGGCCCTTTTCCCTAAACTCTACACACAAATCCCTTCATTTCTCATTGGCTGCACCATGTGGTCACTGAGAAAGCAGTGACATTCAATATTGTGAGCTCAATTCGCTCAATTAGCTCAACAGTCATAATTTATAACACACCAGTCAGAAACTTCAATAGAAAGATAAAAGAACCAGAGTCTGTTCTTTCAGTTCTAAGAAATCTAAATAAGAGGTAGAGGACACCAGAGAGGACAAGAATGAGGAAGAGGAAGAGCAGTGTCGAGAAGAGGAAGAGAGGAAGGAAAAGGAACAGTAGGATTTGGAGGAGGAGATAGAAGGAAGACGAGGATTAGGTGAAGGCGGAGGAGAAGGAGGAGGTGGAGGACGAGAATCTCTGGCCTGTCCCAGACCAAAGACAGGACCCTGGGGCAGAATGATTAGTTGTTTGGTGTGTTGTACTGTACAGTACACTAAGGAATAATAAAAATTTGCACATGTTTACATTTGTCATTCCTTTTGTTGTCTTCATCTTGTGAAAAAGGTTTTTGAGGGGGAGAACCACAAGCAACATTACTTATAACCAGTTTTTGTAGTATTGTTTTGATCTATTTAGGGGTCATTTTCAGTTCATTTAACAAAATCATAAACCAATAAAAACAGGGAAAACAGTGGAGCTACAGAAGATGAACGCTTCTGATAACAACTGCTTCAACACTGAAAACTGCAAAACTTCAGCACTGCAAAAAACGAGTTAGTATTATTTCTTATGTGTACCTTAGAGTCTAGAATCAGTTCTGATTTCATCATCAAACATTATGTAAATAATGGGGTAGCGGGGCTTTCAACCAAAATCCAGACATAATCTGTTTGTAGTCAGTTGGGAACTTTGAATCCAGACTTTGATGAGATTTTATAATTTATTATAACAAGATAAATGGCTTGTTTTGGTGGCACTAACCAGAACTTTAAACATGCAAAATTAACTTCCATTGTTATTTATAAACAGGTGGATTAGGTAGCTGAGTAGAACAGAAGGAGTGGAGGAGTCTCAGGGTGTCTGCAGAGATTGTAGCTGTAGTATACCTACGTTACTGATAATAAAAATGATGAATATTAATATTCGAAATATTAATAATAATAATTAATATATCTCTTGTTTTTGGGGCACAACCTAAAGATTTGCTGTCTGCCCAAGGCTTTAGGAACCTTGAGTATAGCTTAATAATTATACAATTATTTCCTAGTGATCAGTTAGTAGTAATTGGTTAATTATCTTAAATCAATCTAATCAATCAGTCAATCTCATATTGAAGGCGTAAATCCTCCGTTACAGTGACCTGGAGTTAAACAACACACACACACAGTTCCTGTGATTTGGGTGAAATTTATTAGAACTAACTACGTGAATAAATGAGCTTAAATATGCATCAAAGAAATAAACAATGGCTAAACAAAACAAGTGCAATAGGAATGGTGTAGTTCAAGGTGAATTTAGTTGGTCTGAGTTATTGTGGAGAAGAATTTGATTCTAAGAGAGAAAGAGATCTCTTTCTCTAACCGGTTTTAGGTTTTCTCTTTCCGGTACAATTACTAATTGCTTGTTAAAAAATGTAATCAGTAGGCCTAATGTAATCAAACAGAAAATATTTTAACCTGATTACTTTTAGTTACTTTTGGATTACTTCAATACCAAATATGCAAATAAAGACAAGATGCCACCTGCTCAGTGTATTTTTAGAGAAATATACAATTATAAAAAATCCCATTCCCATTATATCAAAATCGATGTTTAGGCCTAAATGATTTTATATGATGCCTTGCACTAGGCCTGTAAGTCATATGGCAGGATCTGGCCCATCAATGACAAAAAATGTTGTTTTGTAGGTATTATTGAATGCATTTTAGAGTGTGTCATTTTGCTGGAAAATGATTTTAAAAGGTTAATGAATCATCCTGCACTGGGAGGCCTGCATTCATTTAGTGTCCAATGAAAAGCTTTTTTAATTTTTATGAGTACCACTGAAAAATAGTGTTTCTGGGACCAGGCACCACTGATTACCGTACGATACCGATTTTTCTGAAACTGGATCATATTTGATGGAAAATATTTCCTGGTTTTCTCTCTGATGTTTCCCGGCCGCTCTGCCTCAACTCTGTGATTCCCCTTTAGGCCTAATCTGATTAAGTCTTTATTTTCTGTACTGTAATGGAATAGGCTACAGTTACTTTTTTTTGTATCCTGATTATAATAATAATAATAATAATAATAATAATCCTTATTTGTAGAGCACTTTTCAAAAACAAGTTACAAAGTGCTTTAACAAGTGTAAAGAATAATACAAAAAAACAAGAGCATGAAAAATTAATATAAAATTAGTAAAATAGAATAAAATAAAAGGGATAAAATAAAGTCAAATAAGATCGGGAAAGGCTCTCCTATAAAAGTATGTTTTAAGAAGGGACTTAAAAGAGTTCACTGACTCAGCCGACCTGATTTCCTCAGGCAGGCTGTTCCAGAGCCTCGGGGCCCTGACAGCAAACGCTCTGTCCCCTTTAGTTTTCAGTCGAGACTCTGGAACAGACAGCAGACCTCTGCCCGAGGATCTCAAGGTACGTGCTGGTGCGTATGGGACTAAAAGTTCAGAAATATAACAAGGCGAGAGGCCATGAAGAGCTTTAAAAGTGATCAATAGAATTTTAAAGTCAATTCTAAAACACACTGGGAGCCAGTGTAATGAAGCTAAAATAGGAGTAATGTGGTCATATTTCTTTGTTCTGGTTAAAAGCCTGGCAGCTGAGTTCTGGACAGTCTGGAGTCGATCAGTAGATTTTTGGGTTAAACAGGTGAAAAGGCTGTTGCAATAATCCAGGCGTGATGAGATGAAGGCGTGTAAAATGGTCTCGGTGTCCTTAAAAGTTAACATTGATCGTATTTTTCTGTATTTCTAAGTTGATAAAAACATGATTGAACAAGCTTTGTGGTGTGCTGCTCGATTATGTAATTGTATGTAATCCATTACTCCCCAACCCTGCTTGTTTATTACATCCATGTGTAACGTCAACTACTACTACGCTTGCCGTAGCGGTTTATTCGCTCCAAACCAAACCAGCTGATGGAAACGCACATATTTCGCAATTTGTTTTTCTCCTTTTTTGCAACATTTCAAAAGTACGCTCAAAATTCACATGACAATTACGCTAGATAGAAACATGGCTTGTGTAGAAGGACAGAGCAGCAGCAGAGCAGTCCAGATCCACTGATGGTCACATCCAGAGGAACACACAGGGATGATGGTGGACTTGACTTTGTGTCTGACAGTGGAGCTGATCTCAGAGCAGTTCAGACTGCAGCGCTGTTGTGACTCCTCTGTCAGTCACTGCTGGATGAAGCTCTCCTCTCCACTCTACCTCCCAGTAACAAGGCCCAGTCAGAGCCTCTCCACACACAAGCTGATGCTGCTGCTTCAACCTCTCTGGATCATCAGGACACAGCTGATCCTCTCTCAACACCACCACCTTTCTCATCACTCACACTCTGACAGAGATCACTTCCATCTGGTGAGAGAAGAAGACAGACAGCAGAAGTCATATCAGAGAGACTCCCTTCATCAGCTGTAAATCAGTGATGCAACACATCCAGTATAAAGACCAGCAGGGACTTCAGTCCTGTTCAGACCAGAAGCGGAGCGGCTGTGTAGCGTAGCCAGCTTCCTTTCAGCTCTCATGTTAACGTACTGGAGTGAACACACTGAGATCTGTTTAGGTCTGTTTACTCTGCAGGTTTCACTCAAGTACACAGTGGAAATAAAGTGCTACGAGTCCCTGAACGCATTATGACTGCAGAGACAGAGAGATATTCACCGCTCACTGTAATTTTGGATTTACTGCTGTTGTACTGCTGCGGCTCAAAGCTGTTAAAAACCAGCCGCTCTGAAACATTTTAATATTTCATCTACTTTTGAAACATTACAGGACAAATATGTAAATATGGATAGACAGATATACTGTATATAGTATGTTAAAGGTCCTATATGTTCATATAAAGTTTGAACTAGGGTTGCACCAAATGATTATTTTTAAAATCTATCAATCATTTTTTTAATTAGTCAATTAAGGTAACGACTAATTTATTGATTGTTTTAAAAATGTTACAATACATTTAAACAAAAGAAATATGAAAAAACATGTCTCATTAATAATTCAATACTTTAATAAATCATCCTGAAAAAGAGACAAAGCACATTAAGATAGTGATCATACTGGCATATTTTAAAATGAGTCTTATTTCCACACCACTGCAGAAAACCCCTCCACCATTGTTGCTTTATTTCTGCTGGACAGGTAATCTGGCCTTTTTCATTTTGCCGGTAATTTGTTACTTTCATGAAGTATTAATCGCAGTGGTGTGACAAGACACTTAAACCATGAGACTAAACGAGATTCAAGATTGGGTTCACGAGATCGAGACCAGACATGATTTTAGCACTATTTTTAAGAAATGTTTAGTACTGAATTATAAAAAAACTTTAATTCCTGCATTGTGATGAATGCTTATGTTGAAAATAATTTTATTAATGTAAAAGGAAACACAAAATTCAAGTTGCAGGTGACAATTAAACTAGGCTAATATAAATAGAAATGTATCCCACTGTAGGTAATAGCTCCAAAAAAACATCTATTAATCTAATCTAACATCTATTAATTATTAAACTAACTTCATCTCAGTTTCCACACATCATGACCACAACAAGCTTCTGGCTGAACTGATTGGCTGCCTGTTCTCTCTCTCTTTCTGTCTTTCTGTCCAATCATGAAGCCTATCATCATTCTCCTCTCACAGCTTTACTGAGGCACTGAGAAGGTTGGAGGTTTACAGGAAATACTGGATCTCTGCTTTGATACTAACTGTATTAGTACAATACTGCTGAAACCAGCATGGACTGACTCCAACACTCTACTGACCTCAGAGTCTCCAGTCTACAGTGTGGACTCTCCACAAGATCAGACAGCAGCTTCACTTCTAAATCCTGCAGGTTGTTTCCACTCAGGTCCAGCTCTCTCAGATGGGAGGGGTTGGTTTTCAGAGCTGAGGCCAGAGAAGCACAGCTGATCTTTGACAAACTGCAGCGCCACAACCTGAATAAAGAATAAATTCATATAAAAATGATGATACGTTCAGGTTTTAAATGTGTAGCTCAACATTACTACGGTGATGAGCTTTTTCAAAAAAATGGGTAGAGGGACTTGGTCATTGTGTTATTGTGGATCATCATAATGTCAGCACAACATTCAAACACCTATTAATGTCAACACAGATTAATAACATGCTGCTGATCTCAGGCCTCAGTCTGGAATAAATATCAAATCAGACGTGTTGTTACTTTTATCATTTTATGAAAGCCAAGACAGATTTTTGAAATGGCCAATATAAAAACAAATAAGACTTTATGAATAAATAAGACTTTAAATAAATCCAATCTTTAACACTTTACCTGTCCCAGCACTTCAAAGCATTTACATCACATTTATTCATTTAGCTGACACTTTTATCCAAAGCGACTTACAATTGCTATGGATGTCAGAGGTCGCACGCCTCTGAAGCAACTAGGAGTTAAATGTCTTGCTCAGGGACACATTGGTCAAATTGAACCCGGGTCTCTCACACCAAAGGCATGTGTCTTACCCACTGCTCCATCATCACCCCAGCACAGATTTAGACTCTCCTCATCACTGCTGTCATCTCCATCAACACACAGCTGACTGACTGTGAGCTTCATCCTCAATCATCTTTATAACTGGATCAAATGTGCACTGAGCAAAGTGAGAGGCATGTTATCTTTATCTCAAATGTAACGAGTTCCTTCCCGTGTAGATATAGTGTATTATTTATGCTCCTGTTTATCAGTTGATTAAGAACACAAACTGACATCATTTTCTGACAAGAAGCATCATCACGTGCACCTTAGAGACTTTGCCATGGATTGGGCATATTCAGAAGAAAACACCAGAGTGATTTTTTGTGACATTAATTTCAGGGAATTTCCAATTTTTCTTCTTGGAAGTTACACCTGATGTCACAAAGTTACTCCTGAAGTTACCTGGATAAGCCCGCTTTGTAGTACAGTCCACAGGACACCAGACATGGATGATTTCAAAATAAAACAGAAAACAATTATAACCTAAGTTCATCAGTTAGCTAAACTTCAAATGTGCCTTCAGGATGTTAAAACCTGGATGACCTGTAATTTTCTCATGTTAAACTCAGATAAAACTGAAGTTATTGCTCTGGGGCCTAAGCACCTCCGTGACGCATTATCTAAAGATATAGTTTCCCTGGATGGCATCGCCCTGGCCTCCAGCACCACTGTGAGGAATCTTGGAGTTATCTTTGATCAGGACATGTCGTTTAAGTCTCACATTAAGCAAATTTCAAGGACCGCCTTTTTTCACCTACGTAATATTGCGAAAATCAGGAACATCCTGTCTAAAAATTATGCAGAAAAACTAGTCCATGCATTTGTTACTTCTAGGCTGGATTACTGCAATTCTTATTATCAGGCTGCTTGAAAAAGTCCATTAAGACTCTTCAGCTGATCCAGAATGCTGCAGCACGTGTTCTGACAGGAACCAGGAAAAGAGATCATATTTCTCCTGTTTTAGCTTCTTTGCATTGGCTTCCAGTAAAATCCAGAATAGAATTTAAAATCATTCTTCTTAATGCAAAGCTCTTAATGGTCAGGCACCATCTTATCTTAAAGAGCTCATAGTACCTTACTACCCCACCAGAGCACTGCGCTCCCAGAATGCAGGGTTACTTGTGGTTCCTAGAGTCTCCAAAAGTAGACTAGGAGCCAGAGCGTTCAGCTATCAAGCTCCTCTCCTGTGGAACCAGGTTCCAGTTTGGGTTCAGGAGGCAGACACCATCTCCACATTTAAGAGTAGGCTTAAGACTTTCCTCTTTGATAAAGCTTATAGTTAGGGCTGGCTCAGGTAGTCCTGAACCATCCCTTAGTTATGCTGCTATAGGCCTAGACTGCCGGGGGATTTCCCATGATGCACTGAGCTCCTCTCTCCTCTACTTTCTCTCCCTCTGTATGCAACCTCATCCCATTATTGCATGTTACTAACACAACTTCTCCCCTTTCCGGTAGTCTTGTGCTTTTCGTCCCTCTCTCTCTCCTATCACTTCCTGCAGGTTTTCTGGCTCTGGAGCTGTGGAGTCTGGATCTGTGGCTGCGGGTCACCTGCTGCCCCCGTGTTCCTGCTCGACACCCTCTGCTACAACTATTGTTACTACCAATTGTGATTATTACTGTTATTATAATCATTAACATTACGATGGTTACCATTAACACTATTATAAATATATGTATTTTTCATTCAGTCTATAGCAACATTACCTTCACTGTCTGTACCCCTGTGTGTATATTGTGTAGGCTCTCTCTCTCTCTCTCTCTCTCTCTCTCTCTCTCTCTCTCTCTCTCTCTCTCTCTCTCTCTCTCTCTCTCTCTCTCTCTCTCTCCTTCACCCCCAACCGGTCGAGGCAGATGGCCGCCCACCCTGAGCCATGGTTCTGCTCGAGGTTTCTGCCTCTTAAAAGGAAGTTTTTCCTTGCCTCTGTCGCCTAGTGCTTGCTCTTGGTGGGAATTGTTGGGTTTCTGTAAGTAGCATCATAGAGTACGGTCTAGACCTGCTCTTTTATGAAAAGCGCTGTGAGATAACTGTTGTTGTGATTTGGCGCTATATAAATAAAATTGAATTGAATTGAATTGAATTGAATTGAATTGAATTAAGTAACCTGTGACAAATAACGTGAATTCCGTTAAGACTGACACATTTTAAAAAAAGAGCAGCTGTGATTTGTGCTCAGACAAACCCAGAAAACAGGAGAACTGAAGGAAACCTAAAACTTCTGTTATGAATTTACATCGGGTACACTGGGCAAGAGCAAAATACATCAACTGACCTCAGAGTCTCCAGTCTACAGTTTGGACTCTCCAGTCCAGCACACAACAGCTTCACTCCTGAATCCTGCAGGTTATTTCCAGTCATGTCCAGCTCTCTCAGATGGGAGGGGTTGGACTTCAGAGCTGAGGCCACAACTTCACAGTGAGTCTCTGAGAGTCCACAGTAGGGAAGTCTGTGATGACAGAGAATATTTGGTCTTTTTCTCTTTCCTTTATTGCATTATATAACCTTTTGTGCATGTAATAGGTTAGCAAAGTGGAAAAGTCCACCTCAATGGGTTTAAAGTTACCATATCCCACAGAAAATTCTGTTCCTGAATTGCCTGAAAACTCTCAATTGTAGTCCAGCCTTTACTTCCCATAACCTATCAGCGTCACTCTGAAACATCTTGATCCTATATTGCTAAGCTGGTTCGGGAACACGGACAGCTTAACAAAGCTATGCTTGCCAGCTAGTCAGGACCCGCCCTACTCTGCTTCTGATTGGCTAGTAGTCCTCAACTAGGAACTGCGCATGTGCAAATCCCAACAAACATCTTGTAGAAGTGAGATGCATCACTCCATAGCTAAAATGGTGCGGTCAACACA